TGATATAATGTGTCGACATATACAGTGGAGCCAAGTAAAAACAAATCTTACAAGATGAAAACAGAAACATCTGTGAGATCTTCACTATTGCTCAAAGTGAGAATAGGGAACAAAGCAGTGTAAACAGGTAAGAACAGAAGGGAGCTACAGCAATATCTATTTGACTCTGAGCTGCTCTCCATTTTAAGTAATGCTCTGTTTTGGTCCATCTTCCAATTTTTCTGGGATCTCCAGAAAAATAGAACATTGTGTTCTGGTTGTATTTGTGCTGTTAGTTGTATTTCTGACTCACAGTTTTCCCTGCAGAGCTCACAGACAGAGGAGAGATTTTCACAGATTAAATACAGAAATTTAAGAAAGAAAAACAAACAAAGAAACATTTCTTGTCATTTTTCCAAACTTAAAGAAAATGTTTGATTCCAGATGAATCGACTCTTGTGTTTCCTCCTTTTACTGATCGTGAATCAAAGCTGCTCATCTTTTGTGTTCTTGTGTTTCTGATCAGAATATAAGATCATGTCTGTAACAGAGCAGGAAAAGTGAGTTTATAGCGCCACCATCTGGACAGACAGGCTCATTTCAGCTCTAACTGTAGCTGAGTGTTGGTGTTCAAACTGCAGCATTTCTGTGAGATTCTTTGAATGTTACTTTGTACATTTGGTGAAGCTGTTGCTGCTGTGATGCTCCTCCTCTATAACACTCATAAGTCAGTATATTACTGTGATTTATACACTGTTTGTACCTGTTCTATTTATTTCCTGTATTTAACTTATTTAAATCTGTTCTGAGGTCAGCTAACCGGTAGAAAACAGATGTGATGACAGAGCTCATATAAGCTGCTAAAATACAACCGAAACATTCATGCCACTGTTTTACATCTCAAATGAGTAGACCAGGAAATAGATGAGTCAGTAAAAATATAAAATACAAATAAAAGTTTCAGTTCTCTTAAAAAGAAAATGAAAAATGAACTGGAAGTGATTTTCAAAACTGATAAAGAAGTGCTGCCATGTTTAGTAACAATAACTAACGTTACCTGTCATAATGCTTTTAACCAGCTGTTGTTGTTGACTCAGCTGTCTGG